CTGCAGGTCCGACGACGGGCTCTCCTCGCAGCTGACCCCGCTGAGCTCTGAGGCCGACTGCGAGTCGGAGCCCATGGCGTGGCCGAGCCCGCCGGCCGCCTCGGTCCATTCTTTGGACTGCCAGTCGGTACAAGTGGTCACCGGTGGTACGTACCAATCCCTGGACGGCCAGTCGGTGCAGGTCGCCATTGCCGGTACAGTTTAGAAGCGTTAGGTGCAGAGTGATTTCGCTGGTTCCATCAGACTAAGGACGCAGGTGTGAAGTGTATAACGTTACTGGCAAGGCATGCTGAAGTTGTGTCATGCCATGTTGAGCTCACATTAAAGCAAGGCTTGTATTTGAGGCTTGCAAGGCTTGAAGTAATTTGCCTGGCTGATACTGCTTGGAAGGAATTATAGAAATTGAACTAAAATTATCGAAGCTCACGAATGCATTTGTAGTTATTTTCATGTGACAATTAACATAAGTGTAATGATCAATAAAGTCACTAAGCGTAAACATAGAAAAATCTTAACTAAACAGCGTAAAGATTTAGTTAAAAATAATGTTAAATTGGATCATAACATTTTTTATTGATGTCCCAAACAAAATACCTGCCGCCAAAACTTTCCTAGAATAAAAACAAACATTTATTTCAAGACACGTGCAATGATTTGCAATGACTTTCTGCAGTTCCTGGGACGACATTCGCCCGACCCAAGCCCCGTCGCAGCGTTTCACTGATGATGGTGCACTTGCGACTTATAGTGGCAACAGTTTCAAATGCGATATCGCCCACGATTTTATATTTTGCTGAATGTGGTTGTCACTTGTCAGTGTCAGAAATACGTTCGCAGAGAAGAGCGGCACCATATAGTTTACCCACCCTCGCACTGGCGAGGATGGGTCGATGCGACCCCCACCCCCTAAGGGTTTTCAATGATAGTGTGAAAACGGCGGCGCGTAGCGTCGCCAAATTTGGATCAGCCGGGCCTATGGGGTAGCCGTTTAACATATGACCTGAAAATTTTAGGTCCAGGTGACCTTGGGTCAGGTCACCAGATCAGAAAAACCGGTACAAGGTCATGGTCAAATTTCAACTTTCTTTATCGGCACATATCTAACTCACAGTTTTGGATTGATTTCCTTCAAAGTTTCAGGATGTGCTACGTTTACCGAGTTGTATAACATATAGCTCGATTTTTTATATCACTGACCTGAGGTCAGTTAGAGGTCATTACGGCGTGATGTTAGCCTAAGGGAAAATATCTTTACCTTTCTTCAAATGCTGTTTACTGCTTAACATAAATTACACACTACCTATACATCCTATCGGAACAATCCGACCATGATATAGCCGAGTCTGGAATCATAATGTCCCGTCTATGCTAGGTAAGTAGGGCTCATTTTACCGTGTCACATTTATGACTGGAACTTCAATCGTACCTTGTCTATCGAGTTCCCCGTCTATCGTGTTGCTTTGACTGCGTTCATCCCGTTTATCGGAACATTTTGATTTTTGAACGTTACCCGACTAAATCGGAATTCACGTCTCGCCAATCGCAATAATTTGAAAGTGCCTGAATTCTGTCTCGTTTATCGAACTTGTTTGATCTTAAGGTATGGCTGAATCTGGAATGATGTTCCATCTATCAAACTAATAGGTACGACTGTGTCCCTAGGATACAATTTTGAATTTTTTTTTCACATCTAACAAGGCCTTCACCGGAACGGGCCATGCGGCGGCAGCGCTTAACGTATCCGTATCCGTATCCGAATCTGCAGACTTATCGAGATATCTGCGAAAAACCGCAAAAAAGGGGTGTTCGATCCCCGACCAAGCGTGAGCTATAGTTCGCTTATTTTAAGTTTGCCCCTCACTGTAAACGTCTCTTATGAACACAGCACCAGAATTGCTAGCTGAATTACTGAGAAAACTGGTTAGCGCACATTGTATTGGAGATATGAATAATATGTTCAAAATAAGTTTTGGACACTGACGATGTAACGTAAAGTTAAACGCCGTGCAATTTATTAATTAGTTCAGACATAATTCCTGAGAAGTCGTCTATCCCTGTGGGGCTATAGGTGTTGGCAAATACGAGCTATGAGTCTGTGAAAAAGTAAATAAATTTTATGAAATTGATCGTCTGTGAAATCTGGTCAAATCAATGTGTGCCAACCAGTTTTCTCAGTTATTCAGCTAGCAGTTATAGTGCTGTGTTCAAAAAGACGTTTAAAGTGAGGGGCAAGCTTAAAATAAACGAACTATAGTTCTAGTCCCGAGGGAGCGGGGTGGGTGCCGCCAAGATTAGGGGGAATAGGTCAAAAACGCCCCCCCTTAAGCGCGAAAACTTCTGGCCCGGGAACGATCTCAAACTATGTCAACCACACGGAATCTTGATTTCATGCAATCTTTGCAAGTTTCGATGCTTCTTTTTTGCATTTGTTAAACTTGTTTGACGTCATGTATGACGTCACTAGGGTCATAGGAGTTTTTCGTCAATAACCCCAGATCAAATTGAGCTAGCGAGTCAGGAAAGCCACCAATGAACTCGGGAAGACTTGCCGAATCGAATGCGATGTGACATGACCTCATTCAACCAAGTTCGTGACCTGGGGGCTCTGACCTGACCGTGAACCGAGGTCCGACACTCAACACCTGTGAAGTTGACCTCACCCCAACAAAAGTACCTATACCTACTAGGTATTCGACGCGCCTGAGCAGAGCAAGGCGAACACGATGCTGTCAAAATCGTGGCTCTGCGACCATTTTTTTTTGCGAAAGTATTCGCCAAAAAAACGAACCCATACCTTGGTCCTTGGGCCACTTGACCTGACCTCAGAGGTCACTGGTTGACCTGATACCTTAACCCGCGCCGGGCCGGGGGGTGTTTGAATACCTCCCCCCTGCGGTTTTTGGCACACCTGTTCGTGCATCTTTTCCGCACATGTTGTGAAAATTTCAGACCCAGGTCACCTTAGGTCAGGTCACCAGGTCACGCCAAGTGACCTCACCTCAGAAAAAATAAGAATGCTCGTCCTAGCTACACCGATTGATCGATTGCCTTGAAACTTTCAGCGATTGATTAGAGCAACATTATCTATAAAATGTATATCTCGGAATTTTGATATCGGTGACCTAAGGTCAGGTCAATTTTGCGACCTCTCCATTATAAGTCAATGGGAGAAAATTGAAAAGCGTTTGTTTTGCACGAACGTTATTCTAGACACTCTCAAACATCGAGATGTAGGTAAAATGGACACACTGAACCGGAAAATGGCAACTGTGACCCCTCGTTATGTCCCCGAGGTCATCTCAGGTCACGAACAGAATCTAACAGTTTTTCGCTAATAACTTCTGATAGAGACGTGCTAGAGCGCTGAAAACGCCTTAGATGTGTTCGGCTCGACGTTGCGGATCGACTGATATGCAACATGACCTTTTCCGGTCAGGTCATGGCCTTGACCTGAGGTCAAATTTTCAAGTTGACCTTTCAAGGTCAAATTATAGTTCATTCGACGCGTCTCGACGAGAGGAACACGATAGTGGCAAAAGTAATGTCATGACTCTTTTGAGTCAAAGGTTATTGCCGAAAAAAACGTTTTTCATAAAAACGGCTATTTTTGCAGTTTTTGCCCCCTGGAGGCTAAACCGTTGACCTGAGGTCAAATCTGAGAACATTACTCAGAATGGTCTGTAAAAGGGCTATCGAATGCGCTTTTCCGCGGCGCTGTAGCTCTATCGGTTCCCGAGATAGCCGTTGGCAGTTTCCAAAATGTTGAAATAGTGGAAATTTGACCTTTGGTGACCTCTGGTGACCTGACCTTTGACCTGACCCAAAAAATGACCGAAGTGTTTTCGTCCTTATTTCGGACGTTCTTTCGATTGCCGCAATTACCACGTGTCGCTACGTGGCCCAGGGGCCGAGTTAGAAGGGGGGGGGGTGGTGGTGTTCAGACACCCCCCGGCCCGGCGCGGAATCTCAGAGCACCGGCCCGGCGCGGATTAAAATCGGGTGTCAATCGCTGCGTCTCGTAACGGAGCACACGCTTGTTTTTTTCCGCGACGCTCTAGCTCCACTATGGGGCGAAACGGCGAGGAGGAGGTCGTACCCGCCTCCTCTGGCCGGCGCGTATGTAAAAGAAAAAAATAGGTCCGGCGAGGGTTAAATGCGCTTCATTCCACGGAGCTGTAGGCTCAAGGCTGTAGCCATATTAAATCCTGACCAATGCGACGATTTGCCAAGAAGTAGGCACCTAGGCATTGTAACAAGCAAACTTTTCCCCCTCTGGGCTCTGGTAACCTGACCTTCGCCCCGATCAAAAAGTGACCGAAGTGATTTCGTAGTTACTTTTTTGACGCTCTTTCGAACGCCGCCTTCTCCGCGTAACGCTATAGGTGGCCCAGGAGCCGAGTTAGAAAGAGGTGTTCAAACAGCCCCAAGCAAGGGCGTGGAAATCTAGTAGCCCCAGCGGGGCACGGGTTAAAAGTGATATGTTTTCTCCAAAAATTTGGGTGATGGACCTGACCTGGAAGGTCGACCAATAACCTCAGACCTTGGTAGCGTCGGTTTACTCAAGGCCCTATAAACCTCTTGTTACGGGCAGCACGCTCGTTTTTCCGCGCCCTAGCTGGATCAGGGGCCACACGGCTGGGAGAGGGAAGAGGGATGCGGGTGCGATCGAACCCCACCTCCTATAAACGAAACACCAAACGAAACGTATCGCCCATCCACCTCCCAAACGCTAGCCGCTGGAAAAATGCCCGAGGGTAGAAATATTTCCTAGATATGGCAGCAAATGTGGTAGCATGTAGAAGCCTCACTTCTCGACAAAACCTGCGCAATAGTTACGATCAAGGCCCTCTAAAACACCCCGCTTTCGATGTCTCTCGGACGACGAAGATTCTACGTCGTCCGTCCAATCACGTTCAAGGTTAGCGGGGGCTCGGCTGCGGTTATGGAACGTGATTGGCCGGACGGCGTAGAATCTTCGTCGTCTGAGAGACATCGAACGCGGGGTCAGTTACGATTCATAGAAAATGCATTCTATGAAAAATAAGTGAAGACACTGAAGGGTAGCCCGTCTGGGTAGGTAGGTTAGGTTGGATTAGTAATAAGATGCACTTTAGTAAAGTAATCTTAAGTTGCACTTTTATCAATTTAATCATCAGTTAGTTAAACAGAAGCTGCTAAGTACAGTGGAAGTGTGCTTTTCATAATCGGTTTAGCATAACCATAGCATAAACCATTCAGACCTAATATATACTTAAACTCAATTCTCAAAAGTCTAACATGCATTCCTACAATCTGAATCACTTTCTCATTTTGATATAATGAGTTCAAGGAAATATATCAGCCAACCTTATTTAACATCGGGTTTTGCATTGGCATAGCAATATGTAGCTTTAGCTCATAGCTGACAGGACACTAATTACAAATCAGGAGCTTTTATGGCCCAATTGCAATGCTAACCCTAGTCAAAAGATAGGCATTCCATTTGTGATCCAGAATGAGCGTGTTACTCGCAAATGCGCCTTGCAGTGCCTTGCGGTCCGGAGGAAGCAAAATGGCAAAAGTGCAGCCTACTCTGGTCAGCCAATTATGTCAGCCAATTAGCATGCAGTTAATTTTGAACTAGGTTAGGTACCTATGCACTATGCCTTAGCTTGGTCAATGGCAACATGAAATAAGCTACTGCTGCAAATGCTGTTAAGTCTCTACCAAAAGTGCAATTTTTAAAATTCTTTTGTAAATATCATTCATTTCCTTTTTGATTATCTTACATACATAAAAATCAGATAGCTATAGCAAAAAAAAACATGAGGAATTTGATATGTTTCCCTTTAATCTCATTCTCCATTTTGTTAGCCCTGCATGAGTATTTTAAGATGCTTTCAACTCAAGAGTGCTTGCCCACACTATCCTGCCAGGATATGGCGTCTTGTGCATATCATTGCTACAACATTTTCACTCCTAAAGGGTGAATTTAGACACCAGCTCGTTTCTACCTAATCCATCCATTGCAGGGGAGGTGTGTGCCGCCTTGGGCCGCTGTAGCCAGTCTTCGTACCTGCGTTAGATCGTGCCGCCATGCCCGCCGCCGCCGAGACTGAGCCGGCGCCGCCGTCCATGTTCGAGGAGGGCTCGGTGGATGACCCCGACTGGGTGCCGTACGGCGAGCGGCCCGACTGGCGGGATGTGCAGCCGGTGCCGCAGGACGACGGACCCGAGCCCGTGGTGCGCATCCTCTACTCGGAGCGCTTCACAGACGTGTACGACCGGTTCCGCGCGCTGCTCGCCTCGGGCGAGGTGTCGGAGCGCGCGCTGCGGCTCACCTCGGCGGCGCTAGAGCTGAACCCGGCCAACTACAGCGTGTGGCACCACCGGCGTCATCTGCTGCAAGCCCTCGACTGTCCGCTGGAGCGCGAGGTCGAATTCACCCGACAGATGATCGAGGACCACCCGAAGAACTACCAGGTCTGGCACCACCGGCGCGTGCTGGTGGAGCGGCGCGGCCAGCCGGGCGACGAGCGCCGCCTCACTGAGATCGTGCTCTCGCAGGACCCCAAGAACTTCCACGCCTGGCAGTACCGGCAGTGGGCCGTGCGCCGGTTCGACCTGTTCGACGGAGAGCTGGAGTTTGCCGAGCGGCTGCTCGATGAGGATGTGCGCAACAACTCGGCCTGGAACCAGCGCTACTTTGTCTGTAACAACACCACTGGCTTCACTTCTGAGGTGGTGGCGCGCGAGGTCTCCTTCTGTCTGCAGGCGCTGCGCAAGGTGAAGCAGAACGAGTCGGCGTGGAACTACCTGCGCGGCGTCCTGTTCCAGTCGTCCGCCGGCCTGTCGGGACACGCCGAGCTCACCGAGTTCTGTGACGGCCTGCTGGAGGCTGGCTGCCGCGCGCCGCAGCTGCTCGCGTTTGTGGTGGATGCCAGTGCCGAGCGCGCGGCTGCCGGGGACAAGGAGGCGCTTCAGAGAGCACTCCGACTGTGTGACGAGCTGGCCGCTGAACATGACACGATTCGCGCCCAGTACTGGCTCTACCGGCGCCGCGCGCTCGCCAAAAAGCATAACATCGAGTGAAGGGCGTCCGCTGAACCGAAGGCAATGCTGGGAAGAAATGTGTAAGGAGCGGTTGCTGTCACAAGGTTAAGGGAGTCCTCGGCTCTCCCCCAAGCGACGCGGTGATTCGTTCTCACAGTATGCCCGGGAACGACGGCATTGGAGAACGTGAATGATACTGCAGAATGGAACAGCGAACCTTCGAGAGGCCTGTGTCAGTTGCGATGGCGGTTGCCTTGACTGCAACTTGCGCTTATGATGCGTGTTTACGTGTGTGGACGGCACGCAGAGAAATTGCACACTGCTTGTTCCCGGTTGGTCTACTTACGATACGATTGCCGAGACATTTCACTCAGTGTGCTGGATGTTTTCTGTTTCGACAGCCGGAATTCGTGTCATAGTTAGCTCGGTGGATATGCTGGGTGTACAGTAGGTCTACTAAAAAAGTCCCCCGCTCCAGAGGCGGCCGGCCGGCCGAACCCCCGGATTCCAGCCCAGACTCTATTGCGCAGGCCGCGGCAGCGACACGGGTCAGGTCGCGGCGCCCGGCGAGGGGTCAGTTGGCGGCGGCCGGCCGTGGAGGGAGGACGCCGTGTGTGGGGCGCAGAGATGCCGCAGTGCAGAGGAGGGGAAGATAATGACTCTGCACAATGTCGGAAATGATACCTTTGTGATCTACATAAATTAAACACCTGCAGTGCATATCCTCCCTTGCCCCATTCCTATTTTATCATAATCCTTCAATAATCTGTAATGGCCATTCAGCGCAAGCAAGCAAACAAAACAACCCGTTTAGCGGCGACATCATCTCGGATAAAAAAGCGACAGTGATGATTAGAATAGACTTAGCGCGAGGGCAAATCGAGGGGTATAACTATATGTATCACATACCGAGTATTTTATTCCCATCTAGCGAATTAAGATTGGGGATCTTGTCCAACAAGTCAGCGGCCGTTCTAGACACAGAATAATGCTTTGCTTTTGGTCATATCATTATCTGCAATAATTCGAAGCGAGGTTTAACCCTCGCCGGCCGAGAAGAAGGGGTGGATGCCGCCACCATGCATTTTTTTGCGGTAGCTCAAAGCACACTGATGATAGAAGGCATAGGCGTAGGAACGTTTTCGAAAGTGGGGGGGGCCAGGGTCCCAGAGGTCCAAAACCTAACCTACCCCCAAAATCCGATTTCTCCTCGGATTTCGGCCACTTTGTTTTCGCAAACATGCTCAGAGGTAAAAAAAAATCGAGACAAAAAAAAGAAAAACATTGGTTGAAATTTCAGGGAGTCTCCCGTCCATAAACTCAAACTGATGGACGCGTTCCCCTGTCCTCCGCAGCCGCTGGCACCCATGCAAATTCCAGAGGCATCCAGCAACTTTTTCATTACGAGCAAGCGTGAAACGTGCAAAGCGAGTCTTTTCAATATACCTATAAAAATCAGCATGAACGGCCCAGCTAGGCTCAGCCAGGCCTATAACGTTTTTAAGAGGTTTTATATCAGCGACCACTGCAACTGGGCTGATTGACTATCACTTATCAGAGGCCGGTGTGGGACTTTTAGACGGTCTGGGCCTTCAGAGGCCAGTTTAACCCTCCACGGCCCGGTCCTATAGGTTTTCTACATACGCGCTGGCCGAGGGGGCGGGGGGCGGGTACGACCCCCCTCGCTGTTTCGCCCCAGGTGGAGCTAGCGCGTCGCGGTAAAACGAGCGTGTGCGCCGTTACGAGACGCAGAGATCGATACCCGATTTTATGGTCCTAGGTCAACCGGTGACATCTGACACCGTTCCGTGCTTCTATCCTCAGGATACCGAAATCCTTTTCCTCCACACCGCAACCCCCTCCGGGCTGGACAGGCAACTTTATCTCATGCGGGCTGCTCCCTTGGAGCGGCACCGCTGCTCCCGAGGGAGCGCACCCCGTAGCCGGTTGCAGTGAGTGCCTTGGGGCTGGGTGGCCTGTCCTCTGGACGGGCTCAGCCCCGGCGACTCACTAGGGTGCCTGCCCAGACCAATGTCTCCCCCTATATCCTATCATCCTTCCGGCTCTGAAATGGTCTCATTGGACCGAAAGGGCCTAACCCAACAAAACGAACAAAAACCGGTGACCTCTGAGGTCAGGTCAAGTGCCTCAAGGCACGGTTCCGTTTTTGGTGAATAACTTCGCAAAAAATGGCCGCAGAGCCGCGATTTTGCCAGCATCGTGTTCGCCTCTCTCAGGCGCGTCGAATGATATACTTTTTGTTTGGGTGAGGTAAACTTAGGGTGTTGACCTCGGGTCACGGTCAGGTCGGCGTCCCCAGGTCATGAAATTGGTCGAAGGAGGTCATGTCGCATATCATTCGATTCGGCAGGTCTTCTTGAGTCCATAGGTGGCTTTCCCGACTCGCTAGCTCAATTTGATCGGTACCTAGTTATTGACGAAAAACTAATAAGACCCTTATAACTTCATAAATGACGTCGCGCAAGGTCAACATTGCAAAAGTGACGCATCGAACCTTGCAAGGAGTGCATCAAATCACGATTCGGTGTGCTTGAGATAGTTGGAGATCGATCGTTCCCGGCGCCAGAAAAAAGTTTTCAGTTTATCCCCATTGACTTATACCTAATGGTGAGGTCACGAAAATGACCTGACCTCATATGAACTTTAGGAAAAATCCGAGATATACACCAGTATAACGCCTTATGGGGCGACTAACGGAGCGAGCGAGAGGGTGGGCCTTGCACGTGCGAAATTGCGAGGGGGTACCTCCAACTGACTTGTGCACGGCACCCTACTAACCGGTCTCTAGCGATGTGCCAAATTTGGGCACAATCGGCCCAGCCGTTCTCGAGATCTGGAAGCGGCACCCTGCACGTGCGCACGTGCAAAATGGGTCCCAACTGACTTGTGCACGGCACCCTACTAACCGGTCCCAAACTGTGTACCAAATTTGAGCGCAATCGGTCGAGCCGTTCTCGAGATCTGGAAACGACCCCTGCACGTGCGCACGTGCAGCAGCACCCCAACTCTGGCACATGGATATGCAGTGCCTAGTGGGTGCCTACCTACATGCCAACTTTGAGCGCAATCGGCCAAGTAGTTACCGAGATATTGCAACAATTGCAAAACTGACACCTCTTCGTTTTGCACGTGGCACGTGCATAAGGGGTCACCCACATGCATCGGGAATAGTCCAATACTTGGTAGAAGGAATGAAGCTACCCTACAAAAATTACCGCATGTAAATCGGTCAAGTGGTTGCTGAGATATAAGCCTCGCAAAAGCGTCCGCACGGCCGGCCGGCCGGCCGGCCGGCCGGCCGGCCGGCCGCTCATACTCAGAAATTTCCGTTAATCTAAGGAAAGACTCCGCTCGCTTCGCTCGCTCCGTAATTATACAAGTTGAGAGACTCCTATTGGATACTAGGTCCTCCAAGGTTCATTTCCCTGTGAAATCTCCTCTGGCAGTGAGGGCGTTGCGAAGTTGCGACATCTGAAGACCGTGCAGAGGTTCACTTATGACCACATGGGTCAGTGACCTGATCTGACCCGAAAATGCGGTTGGTGTCAAAAGATCCCGTTTGATTCAAAGGTCAGGTATGCCAAGCTTCAGCTCTCTATCGCCGGCGTGTTCGGAGCTATCGCGAAAAAAAACCTATGGAGGGGCGGCACCCGCCCCCCCCCCCCGGCCGGCGAGGGTTAAGGCCCTCAGAGACCAGTACAGGGCCTGCAAAGGGCAGGATGAGAACCTTAAGATGCCGACTTGGGCCATCAGAGGCTAATGTGGGTCCTTACAGGCCAGTATTGGCCCTCAGAGGTCAGTGTGGGACCCTAAAATGCCGGCATGGGCCGGTGTTGGACCCCAGAGGCCAGCAGAAGACCCTCAAAAACCAAGATGGGCCTCAGAGGCCGGCATCAGGTCTTCAGAATCCCGTGCAAGGCCCTCACTCTCAGAGACTAATGCGTGTCCTTACAGGTCAGCATGGGCCCTTAGAGGTCAGTGTGGGGCCCTAAAAGACCGGCATGGGCCGGCGTTGGACCCCTCAGGCCAAGGTGGACCCTCAGAGGCCGATGCGGACCCTTAGAGGCCGGCATCGGGTCTTCAGAATTCAGTGCGGGGCCCTCAAAGGCACCTAAAGGCTAGTCTTGGGACCCCAGAGACAGAAATGAGGCCACCAGAGGCCGGTGTGAGGCCCTCAGACGCCGGCTGGGCCCTTGAGGCCGGTTTAGGGGCCCTCAAATGAGGTCAATGTGGGTTCTCAGCGGTCAATGTGGGCGCTTGACCGCCACTGAAGGGCCCTCCGAGATCAGTGTAGGACCCTCAAAGACTGGTTTGGGAGCTGTTAATAGCTAGCGTGGGATTCTTGAGTCTCGTGACAATCGAATAAGGGACAGAGCCCCATACGCCCATGGGGGCCCATTGGTTGTTTGGGGGGGCCAAATGATATGATGGCCCCCTGATTAGCCTTTGGAGGGGGAAGGGCATGGCCCTGATCCCCCTCTGCGACCGCCACTGCACTGAAAGTGGAAGGGGGAGGGGCAGAAACAGACATTGCTGGCCCCCAGCCTGTTTGAACCGAGGCTGAGGCACGGTCACCCTGGCCCCCAGCTAGTACGCCTTTGACGAACTATGCCGACCCCAAGCAGATAAGGTCAAGCGTTGGTCGTTTGTATACGCATTCTCCTGCACCGTGCTAGTATTGTCTTAGTATTGCCTATACCTTTTTAGTGCTCGCTGTCCCGCGCCTCGTATTCAACAAAATGCTGTCACCAGGACTCACAGTCTTGTCTCTGATATGGTTTCCTTCATTGAGTGAAGGAAATTGCGGTCAATAACGCTGTAGAAACAAAAAGGAATCCTCATTAAAGGGCAAGCTGAATAGTTGTCAAGTTACCGGGTGGTAGGTTAGGTACAGACAGACACTTAAGTCAGCAAAAAGTGGGGGGGGCCAGTTAACATTGCTGGCCCCCCCACCTCCGAAAGTGGGGGGGCCATGGCCCCCCCGGCCCCCCCTGTTCCTACGCCTATGATAGAAGGCTGACATTTCACATGCCTTACATTTAATTCAAGCCGGATCACTTGACATCAACCACGTTTTCAGGTCAGGTCACTTAAATATGACGTCCTAGGTAAACCTCTGCACGGTTGTCGGTTATAAAATGATGCAATCCGCAATGCATTATTTTAGTGTCGTATAAGCATAATGGGGAATTATGGAAACCGTTAATTTGGCGTCGGAAATGATCTGAAACTATACCTCAAGCACATGAAATCGTGACTTCATGCATTCTTGGCAAGGTCTAATGCTTCACTTTTGCATTGTTCACCTTGCGTGACGTCATTTATGACGTCACTAGGGTCATAGGAGTGTTTCGTCAATAAC